AAAATAATTTTCATCTTTACTCACTCTTCCTGGTTCATGGCACAACCACACAAACATGACACAGCAATGGTAAAATAGCAGGAACGTGCAGCCCAGAGCTGGAATTTCCTTACACTGTTAAGGAAAGACACTTGCTCACCCACAGCTGAAGAGCTGGATTTCATGTTCCTCACTCAACAGTCTCCATGATAATGCACAGAAAGGTCCAAATTTCACACCTCTTGCTTTTCTCTGCCACTGAGGTAAAGGACAGGCAATATTTAATCTACCATTCTTCTCACCCAAACCATCTACCAATACCACCATGTATTTGTGTCTCATTGGAACCCATATCTTTAAGTAGTTTTCAAATTTCAATTCAAGATTTCAAAACTTGTCAGATTTGCTAACGTCTCCTTAACATCCTTTTCACCACTGCATAAAACAACTTGTCCGCCAGTTTCAATGTACAGGTACAACGTGCTTAGAGTTAAACTGCTTGATTTACAAAGAATTGTAATAAAGTAATTCTTCAGATTACTGCAAAATTGGAATTCTGTTTTTCTACAGTCAGATTTTTGCAGTACACAGCCTAAGACTGACAAAGAAAACATCTCCTACTCCCCAAAACTTCTCAGTAAGGACCTAATTATTACAAAGAGATGCAGAAAAGAAATTTAATTTATTGGGGTAACTCAGGAATTTGCATAGCAAGGAAAGTTCTAAGTAGCAGAACTACTATGCAACAAGGAAATACATCACGAAGGACAGCGAGATAAAATTATGCTGAACATGGTATAAGATAAATTTCCTTAGGGAACAGGCTCATCATGACAGAGGAGTCTTGTTCCTCTTTATGCACAGAACTGCAGGAACTCTTGAAACTATTTTCATGGCATTTCTCATCCTGTTCTCCACATCAAGATCATCCCACAACCAAGAACACAAAATGTAGTCATGAGTGACCAAAGAACCAAGTGTACATCATGCAGATAAACACATCCAATGATAAGCTGTCAGGAGGGGATACTCGCTGAGAGAACATGGCAGAAGTCAGCAATGCACAGAAGCCAATGTGAATAGAGCTTCACCCTGGTCACCAGCTGCCAACAGGACAGAGATCCATTTAAGAGCAAAACTGAGCAGTAATAT